ATCAGGCCCCTCTTTGGCATATGCTTAAAACCCAATCGAATCCTGCTTTGGACAGGGCCAAAGAGAATTAAGACCCCTCTTTGGCTTATGCTTTAAAACCCAATTGATGAATACTGTTTTGGACAGGATTGTAAGATGTTCTCAAACATGTGTAGCTTACCCCTAACCAATTAGAACATTTACAGAGGTTACTTGACTTGTTTCTGATCTAGTTATTTTGGGATTCTTACATGTCCTTGGAACTGCACTATCATCTTCCTTGGTTACTCCTGAATTAGGTTTAAGAGTTAATGTAAATGTAAATGTTTGTTGATATTAGGTTAATTTGACTTTTGCTACCCCTTAAAAAATTTTATTTTATTTTACTACCACCTAAAAACACCTTTGTTAAAATTTGCTACCACTTTTAGTTTATTCAAAAAAAAAATAAAAAAAAATTAAAATGTTTAAAAAATAAAAAAACCCAGCCACCCTCAACTGCCCCCTCTCCCCCTTCCAAAGCTTGGGCCAAGGCCGGTGATCCCACCCCAATCCCTTTCCCCCACCTACGCAGCCACCCCCTCCCTTTTCCCCTTCTTGCTGCCCCAACCCCCACCCCGAACCGGAAACCACCCCCCTCCCCATTCGCCCCACCGGAATCGGCCCCCCTCCCCATTCCCCCACCAAACTCAACCCCCCCTCCCCTTCCCCTACCCTTTTCGGCCACCCTAACCCTAAACCTTTTCGATCTCCGGCGACCCCCTCGAAACCCCAACAACTTCACCCTCGAAACTCTCACCATTGCCGGAGTTGGGGTTATGGGGTAGGTTTGCATCGATTTTGGGGAGCGGCAGGGTAAGGGGAGATGCGGGCCAGGTGGCTGGGGGTGGAGGGGGAGTGGCAGGGGAAGGGGGGAAGGGGATTGGTGGCTCGGAAAGGAGGAGAGAGAGAGGCAGGGTTGAAGTGGGGCTCACAAACGGCAAAATTAACAGCTTCCGTCAACTGGTAGCAAATTTTGACAAATGTGATTTTGGGTGGTAGTAAAATAAAAAAAAAAATTTAGGGGTAGCAAAAGTCAAATGCATGTCTTTTGGTGGTAGCAAAAGTCAAATTAACCTTGATATTACTCAATCTATATTTAAAAAGGCAAAATGAAATGATAGAGAGCAAGGGAAATCAATGAAAGATGGTTAGGTAGCTGCTGGTTTTCCTAAGCTGTTTAGAATGCACATGAGCTGAATGGACAATATAAAGAGAGCTGGAGATATAAAATTTCTGATAGTGTACATTAGACTATTTTCTATTCTATTAAAAAAATAAAGGGAAATTCTACATTATAACCCTGACAAGTTCGAAATTCTACGCTGTGCCCATGGTTTTTGAAATATCTACACTATAACCCCAAGGTTCCGTTAGTAATTCTGTTGTACCTTTGATGCTAAATCTCCGTTAATATAGTTTCGTTAGACATAAAAAAATAATTTAAATAAATATATAAAAAAAACATTAAAAAATAAAACATTTAAACACCAAAACCACCCCATGGTCAGCCCGCTGCCACCGCCAGCCCGCCCCCCTTCCCCAGGAGCGTCGGTTGCCTAGACTCCTTCCCCTCCCCCGCATCGGCGCTGCCTCAACCACCTCCCCTTTCCCCTTTGAACACCAGTACACCATGAAATTTAGCAAAATCTCCCAAATTCCAACCCCCAGATCCCAAACCCTAACCCTAACCTTCGATTTCCGGCTGCCAGGAGGCTAGGGCGGAGAGAGAGAGAGAAAAGGAACAACAGCGGAAGGCTACGGCAGCGGTGAAGGGAGATGCGGCTCGATGTTCTCCGGCGGTTGGGAGGTTATTTAAGGTTTTTTCGAGGGGGGGGGGGGAGGGGTTACGGGAGGTTTTACGGGGAAAGGGACGGTCATCGGGGTGCCGCCGGCACTGGGAAGGGGAAGGGGTCTGAGCGGCAGCCGGCGCTCGAGGGGACGAGGGTAGGGCTGGCCGTGGGTTACAACGGCTGGTTGCGGGTGGTTGAGTTGGTGGTTTTGTTTTTTTATTTTTATTTTCTTAAGATAACGGAAGTTTATTAACGGAAACTTAATGACAAGGGTACAACAGAGTTACTAACGAGACCTTCGGGTTACAGTGTAGACATTTCAAAAACCATGGGCATAGCGTAGAATTTCGAACTCCTCAGGGTTATAGCGTAGAATTTCCCAAAAATAAAAAAGCATTGAGTGTATCTAGGTCTAGGAACACCCAGGTATATGATGTATTTTGCACGAATTCTCATCTTTCCCTTGACTATCTACAACATTAGGACTTAAGTTGATACATGTTCCATGTGCCTTTGGTTTGCATGGACTTAAAGCTTACTTGTATTGAAATGTTCACTTTATGCAGTAAATAATTTTATTAGTCAACTCTCCTATGTATGCTGTAAACCTGTAAGTTACCTAAGGAGTTTGGAATAGGACCCCTTTGAAATTACACTACTAAAATTTAACAATGGTATTCTGCTGAAGTGAGCTACAAGGATTATGTTCACAAGTAGGAAGTATGCTGACATTTTTTTATACCTTGAAATGTTTCTGTTGATCCTTACAACAATGTTGTCATGTTTTTTTTTTGGAGTAGATAATGATGGTCACAGTTATTTATGATCCATCTTCTGACCATTCTAACTTGAGTGGGTTAATATACTAGTTGACTCATTTTGGTATCCTTGGTGATCAGTAGGTAGGGAACTAGGGATGGCAATCAGGCGGTTGGATGCGAATACCCCCTTCCCCATACCTGTATCCACCACCAACTCACCAACCCACGAGGGGTACAGTTTCATCACCCATACCCACCACCCATGACCAGTACAGATTCATCACCCACCATACCCACCACCCATGACGGGTACAGATTCATCATCCATACCCACTCCACTGCTTAATTGGATATCCACTGCCCATTTAATCTGCCCCCCCTCAAAAAGTGGATGTGCACCTATTATCCATCCAGTACATGAAATTAAGGCCGTGGGGTTTCTGCTTTTGTCCTGGATAAAATTGCAATTCAAAAAAAAAAAGTAAAAAAAAGTATTTATCTAACATTAAACTTGGTAATATAATTGTTTAAATGTATGGGAAGGGCAGGTGGATGTTGGGCAGGCGAGATTTAAACTCCACCACCTTCTACCCATGGCGGCTACGAGTGTATTATTTTTAACATGCACGCCTACACTACCAACCATTCTTACTCTCATACCTATACAGCCATATTTGCCCCAACTAGGGTGTGTAGAATCCACCTAATCAATTAATCATACCCACAAACCATCCCTAGTACTAGGTGTCCCTCCAGGCCTAAATATTAGTTTAAAGTGGGTGTATTTACGCCTATAGTTTATTTTCATTCCTTGTTATATCCCAGTGTCGATGGAATTTCCTTAATACCAGTTCAGTCCTAATTATTTCTTTCATGCGTGTTTTACTTCTACATAATTCAAGATATCTATTATATTTGTAGTCTTCATAAAAACAATTACCTCATCAATTTCAACCAATGTGACAGCTGTTTTCTAGTGGGCATAACAATGGTGTAATGTGTGATAAGGTGTTTTTAGTTGACACTTTGTGAAGGAAGCCTTTCATGCTTCCTGTTTGAAAGAATTATGATATTACTTTGAATTTTGAAATGAGTTTTCTTGTCCATCTGTGGGCTATGAATGTGTTTTTTTAATTTTTTATTTTACATTCTGCTGTTTTGGTTGGCGGCAGATGTCTTCTAAGTGAATGTAATGACGCATGACAAATATGCTAGTCTTTTTTTTGTGCTTGTAAAGTAGCTGATTGTATTTTTTTATTTTTAATAAAACAATATTTGGTAGCTCAATACAGACAAATTCAGTTCACTGATATTTGTAGACACTTCAAAAGTTAAATATTTTGTGTGCTTTGAGAGCTTATATGTATTCTGTTCTCCAATATACAACTGTTGCATGTTAACATCATATATCACTGATCTGATTTCTTTTAATGGGATACTAATAGGGTCATTCTCCCTATTTGTTTATATGTTTGTTTTTCTAAATTTTATACTACCTATTTTCTCATATGTGGAGCCATCTTTAATCTCTGCTATGAAAATAAGAAACTGAGTATATGGTGCTGCATATTATGGTAATCAAATAGTGGACTGAGTCAATGTTTTTCAATCTGTTTTGAAGGTTTCGGAAGCTTCATCTGAAGATACTGACAGTGACTCTGACAGTATAGAGTGGGACTGAGATCAGTGAGGTAGACATCTGCTGCTCTAGGCATAGGACTTTCATATACAAGTATGTTGCTTCTACCTTGTATCTCCTTATTGTGACATCAACTGATGTGTATTTCCTTATTGTACTAGGGGTCATACATTCTTACTGTTTTACTATTTTGTTTATCCTGTCCTGTCCGTCATTCTCTCAAACAAAATTCATAAAAGTGTTGTAATTTATTAGTGATATTCCTAAAAACTTCAATTTCAGAAGTAATTCTTCAGCAGGAATGCTATTGTCCCCCCACCGCCCCCCCCCCCCCCCCCAACCCCCCTGCCCTGCCCTTTTTTTTTCCCCCCCACCACCACCAATTTGCCTCTCCTTCAGCTGCCGAATTTTGTGCAGTTTATAGCTGCATGGAGTTGATTATGATGAAGTTTTCAGGAAGCTAAATCTTGTGACTAATGTAGGTAGTCGAATAAGTAGTCATTTTAGAAGCTTTATATTGGAACTTATAGCATGATTTCTAAACATAAAGGGGGGAAGCTATTGAGAGGAAAATATTCCGGGTATATTTTAAGTAGACTGACAATGGTTCTTTTCCATTAGGCCTCGCATTAACTTCTGAATTATTTTTTAAGATGAAACCTCCATTTCCAGTTTCAGTTCCACGAGCTCCTACGACGAAATTACTCTCGCCCTCTCTCTCTCCTGAACACAACAATGTTATCCCAAACATAGACATACAATATTTCTATTAAAATTTTCACTTATTGATAATGAAAAGTAAAGATAATAATATTTGGAATTATACATAGACAACTGTGAAAGAAAAATAATGCAAGTTCAATTCTTTGGCACTATGGCACCACCTATCTATTAGTGATGGGAGGGTCACAATCACAAGAGAATCAAGAAACCATTTTAGGGGACCATTAAAGGGTTTCTTGGGTTTTAGGTAGGCTAACAATGATTTCCCTTTCCCACAAGGTTTCTCACTAACTTATCAAAATTATTGTAAGATGAACCACCAGGTCTTGTAGCCTCCTCCGCTTTCTTCTTCCATTCCATGGCTTTTCCCTTCAATTCCTTCCCTTTCTCGCTTTCCATCACATCTCTCACTAGTCCTTCAACTTCTTTTCTCTGAACACTGCCTTCCTCCATCTCCACCCCAACCCTCCATTCCTTGCATGCATATAGGCCATTCATTTGTTGCTCAGCGAAAAACGGCCAGCATATCATGGGCACCCCTTCACCTATGCTTTCTAAGGTAGAATTCCACCCACAATGAGTCAAAAACACAGCAACCGAAGGATGTTGAAGCACCTTCTCTTGCAGGCACCAGCTCAATATCAAACCTCTATCTTTGATCTCCTCCATGTAACAGTCTTCAGTTATGATGTTCGATTCTCCGATAACAAGGTCAGATCGAATAACCCATAAGAAAGGGTGCTTACTGTTTGCTAATCCCCATGCAAACTCCTTTAATTGCTCAGGAGTTAAAACAGCTATGCTCCCAAAATTAACATAAATGACTGATTTTGGACTCCTTTTGTCTAACCATTCTAAGTAACTATTGTCTTCCTTCCATAAACTCCAACTAAGAGGGAGTAGTTTTCGTTCGTTCACTGGTTGGCTGAGCTTTGTGAGAGGGCCAATGGTGTAAATATTCGCTATCACCTTCTCGATTTCTTTCAAAATTTGGCCTTCTAAATCGTCAAATGTATTGAGAATTAAGCCTGCGGTAACTTTTGCATTTCTCGTTGCCTCTGCCAAGTAGTTGAAGATGATCTCATTTGGATCTGTCGTTCGAAGAAATGTAGGAAGGTGCTTCATTCTAGCCTCTTTGATGAGTCCTGGAACCCACTCAATCGATGTGTCAAGGTACCCGTTTGTAAGGCAACTTTCATCTGCCAAAATACATTGAAAAGAAGGATTAGATTCGGAGGCATTCGATAATACTTCCTCTTACTTTTTGAGCTTCATGATTGCTAATGCAAAATTTTGGCTATTAACATCTTTAATTTGTTTTTAATAAAATTTATAAAAAAAATAGGTATTTGGAAAGCAAATTAGGACAAATCTAATTATAAGATCCCATATTTCCTTACATATAAAACACAATTGATAGTGATAAAAAAAACGTTTGAATAAAGAAAAAGTCCAAATTGTGCAATTAAAAACTAGAGAAGTTACTATTAAGGAAAAAATAAACATATACTTTGTCAAAAAAAAAAAAAAAAAAAACAAAAAACAAAAAAAAAAAAAAAGAGGTTAAACATATACTTTCACTTATTCTTACTGGATACTTTGAATAACATATTTAAAAGTTACAAATAATATAATGTGGAGGAATGCAACAAAAAAAATGTACTCTTTAACTACTCTAAATTAAACTATAGTACTTTGTATTTTATCATATATATATGTAGTATAAGGTTCTTCTTTCCCTGAAACTTTTATATATATACTTTCCCCGCCTGAATTTAGTTTTCACAACAAAAGTATTTCAAATGCAAGCATGACTAGAGTAGTTGGAATCGCAAATAGTATATATTACTTCGTACAATTCTATGGATGAAGGAAGATTTCTACAATTACCTTTTAAAGGGAAATCGCCTCTTTTGACAAGTTCATCAAATTGCATGTACCCAAGCATGCCACAAGCACTTGTAGTATAAAGATGAAACACAGGGATGCCCAATTCTATGCAAACTTGAGGTACGAAGGTCATCATAGCATCCGAAATCACGCTAGTGACAGGAGGAATATCAGGGGATTCAAGAAGCCTCATTAGGAGACTTCTAATGGCCATCTGTGGCTCCCCTTGAATGCCTCGAAAGGAATAACACAACTCGTGAAGGTTGAATACGCTGCGCTTATTATCTGGTGGCAAGCCATCAGGAATAACTTCAATGCTGAAATCATTAAAGCCTTCAAGAAAAGGTGATTCCACGGTGGAGGAACTAGCTAATCTAGCCACATTGAACTCAGTAACCACCATTGTGATGTAAACGCCCCTCGAATGAAGGAGTTTCGCTAGTTTGAACATGGGGTTTATGTGGCCTTGGTATGGAATAGGTACACAAATAACATGAGGTTTATTGGTTGCCATTAGAGTCACACTTACACTTCTATCTTAGAAGGGAAAACAACTATAGCTTTGTTGTAAAATGTGGTGATTGGTGAAGTTCAAGTTTATGTTCCTATTTTATAAGAACGATTGTATTTATGTAAGGCAGTTGTTTGTCGAGGAAGTAGCTGTATATAAATTGATTTTTATATTATATCATAAATTAATAATGAAAAAAAAGATTATTACTACCGTGCATCGCACGGGTACTAATCTAGTATACTTTAAAATTTACTCCCTCCGTGTTCAATCATTTATTTCCCCACATGTTCATTTTCTGCTTTTAGATATCTATATAGCCAATGTGTGCAATCAAATCATATCATTTAAAAGCTTTGTACCATTTCGTGAAAGCTGAATGTATGGTATTCTTCGCTTGAGGTTTTATGCTATTAATGAGCAACCAGAAAAAAGAGTGGCTAGCCAATGTTGCTCGGCTGGATATTGATGACAAAAGGATAAGGAAATCCAAATTTCTTTATCCGGTCGATTCCTCTTTGTACTTTATCTACGCAATATTATTGAGAAAATCCAGTTCATAACGATAACATTTAACATTTGAGAATAATCTAAAAATGTCTCCATATTGATATATAGTCCCCAAAATGTCCTTTAGTAGTTCTCAAGATCTCCAAATTACCCCATGATATGCGCTTTAAGCATTTTACGATTATGAACTGGCCAGACGATGCTCTACTAGTGTTATGCTAAGCTTATAGGCGCTATGGCAAATTGGCAATAATGGCATGCTCACGAAGCAGACCAGACACTAGCTTGACTAGGAACTTCCCGAGTCTTTGGGGGATCTCAAATATGTGGAGAACCTTATAAGATCAGTCATTCTATTATACTACCTCGGTATTTTTTTAGTTGACACGTTTTGACTTTAGCATATTCACTCACTCCCCTTTGACCGTGTTTTGTGCTTTATACGTAATGAAAAATATAGTTATGTAGGATCTTATTAGATTCGTCACGATATATATTTTTAAAATATCAACTTTTTATAATTTTTGTTTATCGATAATTAAAGATATTATTGGTTTAAGTTTACATTAGCAAACGTGACTAAAGAAATGTGTCAACTAAAAAGAAACGGAGGAAGTATTACCAAATCCTATTATTTATCTACATTGTCTTGTAGCGTCCTCCCCTGCCCACGCTATTAATATTGCAGCCCAAACCCTGCTACAATATGGGGCATCGAGTGGGCATCTATAATATGGAGTATTAGGACTGATCATCTAACAAAAGTATTAGGGATTAATAATATCTGACAAGAACTGCAATCAGGGGTAATGTTGACAACAGATAACAAAACAATCTGAAAATCTGAGAAATCGGTTGTCAGCTAACACAGGCTGAGGGATTTCATACTAACACAAGCATTAATGGGTGAAGCACCACAACAGCAACCAATATAAGAGGTGTTTCGGAAGGAAAAGGGGGCACTTCCGAGCATGTATGATGTTATCCAACCAATTTATTCAGAATATTTTCTAATTGAATGTAATTCAAGATGACTGAGGGATCTTTTCTCTTCATTAACAAAAAATAAAATAAAAAAATAATAATAATAAAAAAAATACTTAAGAGTACTAGGTTAAACAAGCTCGTGTGAAGGATAACTAATTTATCCTTTCTCCAACAAAGACACCTTTGGAAGCATCTGACGATCTGAAGTCTTCAAAATCTGTTCTGAAAATTGGATAGAATCTAGTGTTCTCAATATATGCCTCCTGATCAAAGTCACCCCACATCTACTGCCAATTTCGCAGTGGTGCAGCATTTTATATGCATACTGTATACATACAAATATCTAACATCTCACAACAAAATTTCATGAATCAAGATATGTAGATGATGGCTGAACACCAAATGAACCCCTATCATCACTGCATATCTCAGCATCCAAATCACATTTACATGCGAGCTGAAGAAATTTTAAGAACTTAACTTTTCTTCAGGTCGACATAGGAAAAATTCATATATACTGTATGATTCCAATATCTTTCCATCAAACCCAGAATGCAGAACCAAGAAAAGAACCTATCTTTAGCTGCTTGGGAATTTGGCCTTGTCAATGTTGACAAGCTCTTCTATGAGCTTCCTCTCTTCAACATTCAACTTTTTTGGAATCTCAACTTGCACTTTCACCAGCTGATCCCCTCTTTTACTCTTTTTATTTACAAAAGGAACTCCCTTTTTCGCCATCATCAACGTCACATTAGGTTGGGTACCAGGAGGGATCTTCAGATCAGACATTCCGTCAACTGTAGGAACTTTTTTTACTGTCCCCAAAATTGCATCAAGGTAGGAAATTTTGCAAGTATAGAGGATATTATTTCCATCCCTTCTCAAAACGGGATCCTCACGAACTTCAAATACAACAAACAGATCACCAGGGGGGCCACCTTTTTTCCCAGAATTGCCCTCACATTCAAACCTTATTTTGTTCCCAGTATCTACTCCAGCAGGGACTTTTACATTAATTTTCTTGGATTTTTTCACTCTTCCTTCACCACGACATTTATTGCAGGGGGTACTACTCTCGCCCATTCCATCACAATCAGGGCAGGAAAGTGCCTGCTGAACTATACCAAAAGGTGTTCTTATTGATGAGATAAGCTGTCCATGGCCGTTGCATGTTCTGCAAACATAAGACTTGGAACCTGGCTTGGCACCTGAGGCTTCACAAGTGGGACAATCTTCGAGCCTATTTATCTCAATATCTTTATCTATCCCAAACACTGCCTCCCTGAAATCAAGCCTAAGACTGTAAGCCAGGTCCTCACCCTCTGAAAATCCGTTACGAAAGTTTCCCCCCATACCCATGCCATCAAAATTGTTGAGTAATTCGTCAAAGATGCTGCTGAAGCCCTGCAAAAATGAGATGCCAGAAGAACTAAAATCTCTAGGTTAGGGAGACAAGTGAAGCAGGTCAGACAGGTCTGCTTCAGACTCGGGTCATTTTGGTTACCCATTACAATTTTTTTTTTTTTTTTTGGTTTTTTTGCAAAATTCACCAGCCTTTAGTTAGTTATACTGTTTCAGGATATTCTGTTTGCGGTTTCAGGTCATAAAACCGTGTATAAACTAAATAAAAGTCAATTTTGGTTGAATGATAGAGTAGGGCCAGCCTTTTCCAGCATTATCAGGATGGATAATTTACGAAGATAACTAAAAAGAGAAACTTACCCCCATGCTTGGGCCACCTTTAAGACCATCCTCTCCATATCTATCATATATGGAACGCTTCTCATCATCTGACAAGACCTGAGGTTCGAAAAATGTTATCAGTAGACAATTGTTACCAAATGGATACACAAATCTGACAGGTCTATCAGACAGATCAGCTAGAGTAGGGACTACGCATAGAATGGAAACTTACCTCATAGGCATTACTAATTTCCTTAAATTTTTGTTCTGCTCCTGGATCTCTGCAGCATGGAGGGATGGAGAAAAAAAACAATTCAACTACACACAGGAAAGGGATTGCCAAACAAAGAGCAACATAAACAACAAACTTTTGAACAGATTGACATTTAGCCATCTAGATAACTCTATGATAACACACGTCTTATGAGTCGTGTCATGTCACTACCATATGATAACTTTTAAAGAGATTGACATTTAGATAACCCTTTCTCTTCAATACAACCCAAATGTTTCAAAGCTGCAAACCTACAATAGTAAACAAACTATCTTCCTTGCTGCAAGATGAAATTTATCATTTTTCTTACCACCCCTCCTACTCCTCACAACCTTCCATGAAAAGTATACATACCCACAGAAAGTCTTTGTTACTTCTAAAGGGAAACCCAAATTAAATGAGCACATTGCAATCTATGACAGCTTATTATCAGGAAACATCATATAGTGATTAAAGCCCCCACTATTCTGTAGTTAACTGATGGAATAACAACCCCAAGACATGATCCACTATATTTTCAGATACTATGTCACAAAGTTAGTGCACAAATTACATTGGTGCACCCTAATAAATCCAAAGAGGTAAGGTGATTATGATGCCACAATTCTATACTAGCTGATCTGCAATCCACACCCCATAACGGAAAGAGAGGCGGGGGAAATGGTTAATATCGCCTTCAGCATAATGCAGTTAAGATTAAAGAAAACTGGCAATTTAGGTGTTTTAGAAAATAAATTCATTGTAAGACTTTGGAGAGCTCAGATGTGGAGTTGGACTTCAAACGATCAAACCAACTATAGCTACTCGCACAATATTGTTACAACAGTAAAGTGAATACTACAGAAATAAATCATGCATAATCCTAAGAGCTAAACAATTTCGACAACTTCAATAAGAACCAACATAAATTAAATTACAAGGGGGTGGAAATTTTTTATGCCAAAATGCCCAAATTGTTATCACAGAATTGAAGCAGCAATAATCTTCTAAAAATTGCTATATTTGAGATTTTGAGAATGTTGAAGGTCCACACTTAGGCCTAATGCTTTCATCATGACTAAATCAGATCAGAACTTATATTTTTTCAGATTTAAAGTTGAGTATTGGCTAAAATGAATAAAATCACATAATTATTTAGAGAGCCTGCTACAGACACATAGGAGTTATTACATAGGTATGTCAGTATGCATCATTATGAAGGCTGAATTTCAACTTACTTGTTTACATCTGGATGGTAAGTCCGTGCAAGCTTCTTATAAGCTGCATGTATGAGAATTTAACTCTATATGATTAATCAGTTACTCTTGGGAGACAAACAAAGTTCAGATAAACATACTTCAATAATTAGAAACAAAAGCATACAGAGGAAATCTTAATTTGCAGGCCAACCTATGGAGCAATTTACTGGTAAGAAACAAACCAGGAAAAGATATGAAAGACACAAGAAGGCACCACAAGCTGCAAATATTAAATGTTCTAGGCATGCAATACTTTCCACTGAAATGCAGAGGCTACCTACACAAAGACCAATCTGATGGAAACAAAGAGGTGAAAGGAGACTAAGGCAGCATTATCAGGGCAACATAAAAACAGCCTAAATCAAGATAAACAGGTTTAGTTGATGCTGCATCAGAATGCAAAGATACTACCTTACTTATAGAGGTACTAACCACTTTTTATTTCAGGCTTCCTAGCATCTTCTGCAATACCAAGGACAGAGTAGTAATTCTGCATGTTCAAAACAGTCATGGTCAGAATATGCCTGCCAACTAAAAACAATAGTGCACTGCTTTAATATTATTGCAAGGAAATAAAACAACTACATAGCAGAAGACATCTGACCCTCTGAGCTCTGACAATGAGGTGAGAATGGGATTGCTTGAAATGATACAAGTCCATATGTGGCCTTGAGCTCAAAAATGAGTGAGAACAGTCTGGAGAAAATATGGTTGAGCAAGATGAAGCCAACATCCCCTTGCTTGTGCAACTGCAATTTTTCAGTCAAAAGTAAATAGAAGATTTAATAGTTGTTCAGAAAAAGTAACATCCTTATCAGTTTGTAAAAGATATACAGATACATGTTTACCATGAGTCCATTGTCACTTACATCCTTAGGCACTTTAAGTTGTAGCATATTTACTGTTTGCACTATTTACATAATCGGCTTTGACCATCTTTGATTACTACGTATTTATTATGCAAGAAACAGCATAACCGAGTGGGATCTTGTTAGAATTGTAATGCAAATTCTCAAGATATCAAATTTCTATAGTTTTAACCTAGATATGATTAAAGATATGTTTTTTATGTCAATATGGTACAACTAAAAAAAAAAAAAGGAAAATTTAAATTATGCACAAAGATGAACTAGAGAACGGAAGATACCAACAGACATAAAACCTTGTAGGACAAAAGCTGGTGCTTACCAATGTGAAGAAAATAAATTAGAGCTTGTAGTACTATACATTCCAGGTGTTTGACTCTGCAAGCCACAATAAGGCACAAACGCTCCACATGGCATGGTCGCCATGTACAAACACCTATATTATAAAAGAAAGTTTTATATAAGACATCATTTTGAAGCACAAACACAAAAGTATCATCAAAATCAAAGGATTACAACTTTAGAAGGCTAATAATATCATAATGTATGTATATAATATATATACAAACTAAAAGTAATTAAGCAAATTCAACTAAGGTAGAAAGAGTAGCAAGTGCAATCACTTGTAGCCTTGTAGGCTTCACATTTGCAAAACTTGCAGTATAAGAAGAAATTTTCAGACAACAAAAAAAAGTTGTTTGTGTTAAATATGCAGATGAGAGATAGTGGCACAGCTAAGTACAGAGCTATGTAGTAAATGGACTATGGAGATCTGTTCTGAATGGTTGGAAGACTTTCTGTTCTCTTTTTTCTGTAAGAAAAAACACAGGTATGACAACATCCAAAATTCTATTTTAGGTACACTAAACATTAGGATGTTGTCAGGTAATGTTTAATAATGTGCATTAGCAAAAGACATGCATGTACTAAGCCACAAATATCACTACAATATCTTTATGCCAAGGTAACTAAAATCTTTTTTTAAGACTCAAAACTCTTTCTAGCTTTTCTTCGATATATTGAAATGCTCAATCATAATGAGACTATTTACATATGTTCCATAGAGAATGCAGGTTCCTCATGCATGAAAGATTTAATTTATTCCTTGATGACCCTCATAAACATCACTAAATTATATGGAGTACAAACATATAAGTTTTTCACTGCAAAAAATAATTTTCACTGAAGTTGAGGAATATGAGGATAAATCTTATCTTAAACTAGCAAAAACCATTACTGAAAGTACAGTAAATTGATCAGCATTGAACTCAGAAAATCTGAATGTGTGAAAAAATCAGCATCAAGGAGCTTTTGGAAAATAATTTATTATAGCATAATACTGCTAGCCTCTTAACCAATTTTATGCCACAACCAACTTTTGACTATTAAACTCTACCCGTCGCCATTTGAACATCTTCCATTGTTGCATACTCGTATAGGTGCATAAAAGTATAATATCATTAAAACATAAGTCAATTTCCATCATTCCCAGCACTTTGTGCTTTTATCACAACCATGGAACGTTCTAAATTTTGTATACACATACATCCTAGTCCACCTCAACAATCTCAACTAGTATATATACCTTAACTAAAATCCTCAAAATATATCATTACATTCCCTTCTTCAAATATGTTACTGTAGTTTTCTTTCTTGTCCATTTCACCAAAAAAGTCAAAACTTTACTTGGCAGTTCAATCCCAAGCTCATTACTCACAATATGCCTCAAAAACCAAACATTTTGTTTCACAGGCCGCAAATTTCTCAAGATTATCAGAAATATTCACCCTAATTCCTTATAATTTCAATTGAAAGATGAAAATTTTCCATTAAAAGTAGCAAGTAGCCAAGTACCCACATCACATAAATGTCCCAAATGTAATCAACACCCATAATAACATAATATATGCATATTCTAAATAATTAGTGAATTCAAAGCTAAAACAATTATTATATAATCAAAGGTGAAAATTGAGCTAAAATGGAAGAAAAATCAAAGAAATAGGAGAACTTAAGTAGAGAGAAAGATGAACTCACTGGTTGCGAAATTCCACCAAAGACGGCTATGAGATTGAATATCTATGTTAACCTTGTGAGAGGTGAGAGAAATGGGATTATTGAACAATTTTGCAGAACTGCACGCTCAAGTCTCAGCTACCTACGCAAGTTTAGGTCGAGATATTTAGAAAGGTCTCTTTTTTGTGGCAAACTATCTTTGGTAAGAAACTAAGAAATATGGACCTTTCACCTTTGCTGTGCGTTTCATAATTTAGATTGGAAGGTTGAAGATTAGAGACTAATCTGGGTCTGTAATACGAAGTATGGAATATAAAATATGGATTACTAATTGTGGGTCGGATGATGTTTGGGTTGTTCTTTTTATAGAAAAGGTTGAGGTGATGGAATAGTGACATCGCTTTTAGCTCGTATCTTTGAGGTCTAGTTTTCAAATCTTATGGGTTAATTTATACTCTTATAAGGAAAAAGAAAGATAAAAGCTTTGAAATTAGAGGAGTTAAAATTGTAACTTAATAACTATATTAAAGAATTATACTATATTAAAGAATTAGAGATTAAGGTGCTATAGCCTGTTGGAGCGATAAGGGATTCACCAATTAGTAGGCCGTGGACTCGACTTTTGTGTCATGTACTAACTCGTTATTATAAAAATCAATTTATGATAGATATGTTTGTTTACTTAGCTCAAATTTTCTTTTGTATCAATTGGTTTGAATGGGGTTTAGACTTTTAGTTACACTAATGTGCATGATGATTGATGAACAAGCCATATTATATTGAAGAATTGGTTAGCATTTAGGATATATCTTTCATCAAATGTAAATATACGGTTATCATTATGTAACACAACTAATGTGGTCTTTGTTGTAACTTTAAAAATCATGATTTTCACTTTTCACCAAAAAAAACAATCATGGTTTTCACTTGATTATAATTGAATAAAAACTTACTTTTTCCTAATCAAAATTTAATTTTTATACGGAGCATTTTCTAGGTCATACTTTGTAATACGAAATAACACCCAATCAATAGTAAATAGGGAAAAGTATTGAAAGAAAAAGGGAAAAGGTTGAAAGATAAAAACAATCAAGAACCCTAATTTCAACTAAATTGAACAGGAGAACCCGAGCTCAATGAAATAACTTTCTCACTCCGAAACTCAAATTATTCTACATACAATGAACACCTCCACCACCACCAATCCTCCTTCTCCGCAACCTCCCACCGCCGCAGAAACCAACCCCTCCGCAAACACCGCCGCTGAAGCAACCAACCCCACCGCCGCAGAAACCAACCCCTCCGCAAACACCACCGTCGAAGAAACCAACCCCTCCGAAAACACCACCGTCGAAGAAACCAACCCCGCCGCAAACACCACTACCACAACCAACAACGACGACAACAACACCACCAACAACAACAACGACGACAACAACAATGCAACCTCCGACGACGTTTCCACCCCATCAAACCCCCTCTCACCGCCACCTCCCGATGACGACACCACCACCACCACCACCTCCGAAGTACCCATCATCCCAAAGCGCCGCCGCAAACGCAAACATTACCAAGGCACAATTTCCATGGTCCTTCGTCCTCACTCTTCTTCTCGCTCTTCATCTTCTCTCCTTGACTCTCTCTCTCTCTCTCTTCCTCGTCGTCGCCGCCGCATCGCCGACCTCTCCAAAGACCGGCCACCACTCGATGTTGATGCTCTTATCGCAATCTCAGTTGGGTTTCCGGTTGATTCTCTAACTGAAGAAGAAATCGATGATGCTGTGATTCCTACTCTTGGAAGTGCCGATCAATCTCAGTATATTAGTGTCAGGAATCTTATACTGTCTAAGTGGAGGTCGAATGTTTCCTCTCTCATCACGCGCGATCACGTGATGGAGTCTGCTAAGCCGGAGCATCGTCATCTTGTTGATGCTGCACTTGGGTTTTTGGTTAATCATGGGTATGTTAATTTTGGGCTTGCTCCTGAGATTAAGGAGAAGAAGCCGTGCGACAACAATGGTGATGGTGTTGTAGGGGAGGCCAACATTGTTGTCGTCGGCGCGGGGCTGGCGGGACTTTGTGCTGCCCGCCAGCTCCGGGGTATGGGGTTTAAGGTTGTGGTTTTAGAAGGGCGGGCACGGCCCGGTGGAAGGGTACGCACGAGGAAGATGTGTGGGGAGGAAGGGGGTGTTGTGGGTGCTGCGGATTTAGGCGGGAGCGTGCTGACCGGAATCAATGGGAATCCGCTTGGAGTTCTGGCGAGGCAGTTGGGTTTTCCGCTTCATAAGGTGAGAGATATTTGTCCTCTTTATTTGCCTAATGGAAAAGCTGTTGATTCAGATGTTGATTCTAGAGTAGAAGCTGCATTTAATAAATTGTTAGATAGGGTTTGTAAGCTTAGGCAGGTTATGTTAGAAGAAATGAGAAGTGTAGATGTTTCACTTGGAACTGCATTAGAGGCATTTAGGAAGGTTGTTAATGTTGCTGATGATCCTCAGGAGAAAATGTTGTTGAATTGGCATTTGGCTAATTTAGAGTATGCCAATGCTTCATTAATGTCGAATTTGTCAATGGCGTTTTGGGATCAAGATGACCCTTATGAGATGGGTGGGGATCATTGTTTTATTCCGGGTGGGAATGAGAGGTTTATTCGAGCCTTGGCGGAGGATTTACCAATTTTTTACAATCGCACGGTGGAGAGCATTAGATATGGGGATGATGGGGTGTTGGTTTATGCAGGTGGGCAGGAGTTTCGGGCAGATATGGTTCTCTGTACCATGCCATTAGGAGTTTTGAAGAGGGGGGATATTGAGTTTGTGCCTCCTCTACCTCAAAAGAAGAGGGATGCTATTGATAGGTTAGGATTTGGGCTGTTGAATAAGGTTGCAATGTTGTTCCCGTATAATTTTTGGGGTGCTGAAATCGATACTTTTGGACATTTGTCGGAGGACCCTTCTAGGAGGGGTGAGTTCTTCTTGTTCTATAGCTATTCTTCAGTTTCAGGTGGGCCTCTTCTGGTGGCCCTTGTTGCAGGAGAGGCAGCCATTGAATTTGAGAAGGTATCTCCTATGGAATCAGTGGGGAGGGTTATGGATATATTGAGGGGAATATTTTACCCAAAAGGAGTTGATGTTCCAGACCCTGTTCAGGCAGTTTGCACCCGATGGGGTCAAGACAGGTTCACTTATGGTTCTTATTCTTATGTTGCAATTGGGGCATCTGGCGATGATTATGATATTCTTGCAGAAAGTATAGGGAATGGGAGGGTTTTCTTTGCTGGAGAGGCGACCAACAGGCAGTATCCCGCTACTATGCATGGTGCTTTCCTTAGTGGGATGAGGGAGGCTGCCAATATACTGAAGGCTGCCAAAAGAAGGTCATTGATACCAGCTGACAAGGCAGAAAATAGTAGCTTAGAGAATATTGAGGATCTGAGTCAAATATTTTTGAAACCAGACATGCAGTTTGGGAGCTTCTCTGTTTTGTTTGATCCAAGATCAGATGATCCTGAATCTCAATCGCTTTTGAGGGTTGAGTTTCGGGGCGAGAAATTAGAAACTACTGCTCTGTTTCTGTATGGTCTGCTTTCAAGGTGTCAAGCACTTGAGCTGAACAATGTGGAATCTGATTTGGATAGGCTAAATTTGTTGAATGAGAAGTTTGATTTGCGGTTAGTGGGCAAAAAAGGATTATGCTCTTCTGCAGAATCACTTATTGCAGCTGTTAAAAGCAAATATATGCTCTAAAGAAGGAGCATGATCTTGAATGTACACATTACTCCCAGCTCAGAAGGGAAGAACTGTAAGTTATGAGCAACTGACATAGAAGTCCAATGTTGTACATTAGTGTTTCTAGGATGATGAGGGAATAAATCGATTGCTCTCAGACTAAGCAAATTTTTATGTTAGAATAGGTAATTTATGGCGTTAAAGCTGACTTATTTGTAGGTTGTGACTAATTTATCGAATTTGAGCTAGAGGATTCAGTGATCAATTGTTGAGTCCCTTTTATGTACATTATTATAGCTATTCTATATGAATGTGTGATTTATTTTACTATGTTATACCACCTTTCATATGCCTTGGCTACTTGATGAATTTGAAGCTGTAGCCTATTGATGCTGATATGCTGTAAATTGAATCTCTTGTTTTGGTTGTTGCTGCATGGTATATGGTCTTGCCAGTTGCATTTTCTATGAAATGATCAGGTGGTGGTTTGCTCTAAAATTCAACCACTATAGGAAGCACCCAACTTTCATTACAAAAAAGAAGACGACGATTGTGACTTGTGAGGGAGTTGTATTACTCTGTTTTGGTCCATAAGTAATCCCAAAAATATTGGCAGAAATGGGTTATTCCATGTTATATCACTCATCTCAGTCATCTGTATCACCCTGCAAAGATTTCAACATTAGTCGAGGAAGGTCAATCACTTATGCAGCTGATAGGCAGTAGTGATTTGATGTTGATACCGACGATTGTTGATGATGGTTTTAGCCAGATAAAAATACGCCAAGATATCAGATATGGGGTGAATTGATTGAACTTCTGAATTTCTAATACAAGTAGAATATTTGCAATTTATACAACTAGGCTAGTATATGCTTTGGTTTTTTGGAACTAAAATTGCAGTAATTCAAAGAAATTGTAATAAACAAACTTCTACTCATTGTTCATTTCATTAAACTTTCTAATTTCATATCATAATTCAAACATCTAAATTATGTTGTCAATTTCATTACCCCATAAACAAAATTCTACCCCAAAACATGTCAATTCCAAAATATAATTCAACCCCGAAACCCTTTTAATCCGAATGATCTTCATCAATCTCACCTCTTGACTCTCAACTGCGCTATACTTATCCCATGGGTTAATATCATCCATATCTCGTAATACATATTTAATCTTATACTTACCATATTTCAATACAAACCAGTCACCCCGAGTACATGGCCCCGGCACACGGCGAGGAACCTTCATCACGAGCACCCAGTGCACAACCTCTGCTTCCACACCGCCCGTGTCGTGTGTCTCCGGGTTAACACCTAACCAGCCCTTGTACACCCTATTAGGCGTTAACCGACTCGAGAATTTATGCTTTGAGCTTTCTTTTCCATAGAATCTGACCACTTCGTTGCTCTCGGCCCAAACCTTGTACCCGTTTTCTGAAATACCCGGGAAATCGACCCGCATTATCAGCTCGTAATGGTCTCCTTTAGCGTTTTCGTAGCCGATTGCGAAGAAGGTATCGCTACCACATTTCAGATGTGGGTA